GGTTTTTGTTATCAAAATGGAATCGGAACACAAAAAGATGAGAAAAAAGCATTTGAGTGGTATTTGAAATCAGCAGAGGGTGGAGATGCTGATGGACAAAGTAGTCTCGGTTTTTGTTATCAAAATGGTATCGGAACACAAAAAGATGAGAAAAAGCATTTGAATGGTATTTGAAATCAGCAGAGGGTGGAGATGTTAATAGACAAAATAAACTTGGTGTTTGTTATTATGATGGAATCGGAACACAAAAGATGAGAAAAAAGTATTCGAGTGGCAGTAGAGATTAAGAAAAAGTATTCGAGTGGCATCAGAGTGAAAATACTTTAGGATAATATCTATTGGAACTTTAAAAAGATAACATCATAAGAAAAGTCAAAAATTTCTTCGTTTTATATTTTTATTATTTGTAAGGATATTTTAGTTTAAAATATATTTCTTTATATTTAATTCGTTCATTAAAATATTTTTAATTTAAACTTTTACAAAAGAATTAATATAACTATTTCAACTTAATAGCACTGTTTACGTTATCAATTTTTCATATTTTGTCAATATTGCAATTGAGTATAGAATACACATTTAATGCTTAAAATTTCTGCATTTACTCGAACTTGTACAATGTTTCGGTTGAGTTCGGTTCGAACTTCGAACCTTTTTGAATTCAAGCCAAAGTCTGGTTCGAGTTCTTGGAACACTAAATATGATGAAATATACCTTTATCCAGTGCTGTCACTTGGACGTGAATCCAGCAATTTGATTGGTTGGGACAAGTGTCCCGACCAATCAAATTGCTGGATTCACGTCCTAGTGACAACACTGCCTTTATCATAATATCAAGTTGCAAAGATAAATTAAAATATGAATATCTTCTTTAAAATTAACTAAATCTATATAAAATAAAATAATAAAAATAAAATAATAATAACAATAATAAAATTGTAAAGTTATCAGTTAATTATAGTAAAAGTAAAAATAAATATTGAACAATACAATAATCTAAAAACTTATAGAATTTAATGTACAGTAGTAATAATATCTAAAGCAATAAGGGGATGGACATATATCACATCATTAGAACCATCCCTCCCCCCCCTGGTGAGATATGCAATCAGGCATTCCATAATAATGTTATCTCGCATCATAATAATATGCAATTCATGATGTACAATGCTATTTCCTCCACCATCACCATCAGCAGTAAATCGAGGACGAACAGCATTATCATCACCAGTCTTCTTTGCTCGTTACGAGATCTCGCTACTAGTCTTTGCTTGTTATGCAATTGTGTCACTCGTCTTCTTTGCTTGTTACATGATTGTGTTACTAGTTTGCTCGTTACATAATCTTGCTACTAGTCTTTGTTCGTTATGCGATCATGTTACTAGTCTTCTTTGCTCATTACGCGATCTTGCTACTAGTCTTTTTCATTTATTAATTGGGCTATTCTGTGAGTTTTAAAGAATAATCCTACAAGCAAGAAACTTTTTGCGAATTCGCAATTGGATTATGCTGCTAGTGATTGTGATACCATTTTTTATTCTTTATGCTAGTTTTTCCATTACGCTGTTACTAAACTAATTCTAATAACTTTGTTTATTTCTATTAGGCGCATGCCATCATGTTGTTTTACTTAATGCGAAGAAGCGTTCAGACTCAGAGTATATCGCCTTTGAATTTCATACTAATATTTCTGTTGCTGATATCGGAAGTGAAATTCTTGATGAAATCCACAAGTTTCCCTTCCCCTTCAACAAATAATTATAAATGAAGTCTGTGCTGTTGAAAAGAGGATAGAACAGGGCAAAGTGGCACTTGGTTTAATGTCGTCTGATTGCTATTGCCTGTTCTTCCGTAAATATCAGTTGCCCTGTCAACACATCTTCCACGAGCACATGTATGGAGTCAGAAAGTTATTAACAACTAGTACTTGGGTAAATTTTCAACAAATGTTTGAAGGGGGAAGATTCGAGATATATGAGCATCGCGAGTTAGAAGAGGTGGTGACATTTGAGAAAACTGAAAGTGAAAGAGCGACTGAAAATTGACAGCGGACCATAAATGAGTTGATGGAAAGAACAAGAAATGCATATTGGTGAGTTGAAGAGGGAGGAAACATTGAGCAAACAATTTTATATATGGAAAAATTTTGAATCAATTCTAAATTAATGTCATTATTTTAGGTTTTATTACAAGTACAATAATAGTGATTTTTTTAATTATTTTAATTTTTTACAATTTAATTTTTTTTTACAATGTTAAGTGAATTTTTATTATAACATAATATTTTTTTAATAATAATTATAAATAATGATTTTTTTAATAATAATTACGAATAATGATTTTTTTAATAATAATTACGAATAAAGATTTTTTTAATAATAATTACGAATAGCATATAATAGTTACGAACAATACAATAATGAAAAACCATTCATTATTCAGGTCGCAGATTTCGAGTTGACTATTAATACTGAAGAGGATGCTTTTTTTGTTAGATTGCACAAAAATCAATTATCACCAAAATCAAACGGTCAAGCAACAGCAAACTTACTCTTTTGTTTTCAAGAAGCTGTTCCTCGATACTAATTGCGCCATCTATATTTATGTGAATAATAATATTTAGTGAATAACGTTGAAATGAAATAAAAAGTAAAAAAAAAATACTTTGTTCAACGTTGCGATTTATTACAATGAAATTAAAAAAAATATTGTTCAACATTACGCTTTTTACATTAAAATTCTGACTACCAAGAAACATCCCCAGTGATAAAACCACAAAGAAAAAAATTAAAATTATCAACTATTACTAAAACTGTATATGCGTAATCCCTACCTTATGCTCTAATAATGATCTTTTATCATACACTCAAAAATTGATCTCTGACTTCAGCGGCAGATCACCTTCCTGAATGGATACCAGCCACACAAAATCACATGGATACAACACTTTAACGCATCTCCTGATCTAGCACGTCTTTTATTTCCTGATCTATCGTGTCTTTGATCTCGTGTTTTTGATTTCATTTATCGCTAAACTCTCCTAATATGCAAGCTTTCCTAACTACATCAAAATACAACAAGTTTTATATTTATAAAACTCCCACAAATCAACACCAGAGATTCTGCAACACATTCAGATATAGTCGTATGGTAAATACAAGGAATTCAGCGTACCAAAAGCTCAGTTTATGTACTGAGTGTACTGACGCGTGGAAAGAGATTCAACATAAATCTCTGCAAGAAATCGAAAGAAAAATCGAAGAATACCTGGTAACCCCAATTCCCATCCAAGATTTTTTGCGTTCTTTACGACCAACACTATTATCTCAAAACTCTAGAACTATCCAAACCACCCTAACCCTAACTATTTCTAAGGCAATCGAAGAGATTGTTATAGCTGACACAGCTTCTCCTAATGCTTCAGCACAGAAAAAAGCCACAGAAATCATCAACACAAGTAACAAGAAACTCGCTGAGCTTCAACAAATCTATAATTCTACTACTGACTTGGAGATTCAGCATAGTCTTCTGATTCGCATTACAGATCTCAAGGAAATTTTGCATGATGAGACTAAAAAAATAAAGAGATTGAAGCGTCATGCAAGATACCAAAGTAAAAGCTGGGCAAAAAAAGCAAAAATCTTGGAAGAGCATCAAGAAGTTATAAAATATGACTCACCCGATCGTTCACCTCTTTTGATCCAATATCCAGAATTACATGAACATATCCACGAATGTATCGAGTTCAGAGCTGCAGACAAAAAAAGAAGAAAAGAAGTTATAAAAGTTAGAACTATTAGTCATCTCCGTGAAGCTCTAAATTCAAAATACAATGAATATTTTTCTTGCACTACTTTCAATAATTATCTATTGCCACATCGATCGACTACAATATCAGCGAAAGCCCATCACCATCCAGCCAATATCGCAATTGCTTCTGTTTCACGAAATAAAAAAAATGAACACTCTGACGAACACTATTGTCTTGCTTTAGTGAAGGGAGCTAAACAATTTGTAGCCTTATTTTCTACCCAATCTGTAATTATTTCACAGGATGACAAAGCCAAGATTCCTCTTGGTATTCTTGTAGTTGGAAGAATCTTGCAAAGTTCTCGAGAGCCAGTCACACTACCAGATCACGATTTTCTGATTGGCATGCAGCAAAAGTTGATTCCATCAGTCTATTTGCTAATAAATCCAAGCAATACAAATGATACCTTTCATAATGGTCAACTATTGATTTTTATTCATCTGCAATATCAAGTTGGTACAAGCTCTGCCATTCATATGAATGACTTAAATTCGTTGATGCAAGATGCCCGCTTCAATGGAATATTAAAAACCAATGGCCAGATCAAACTCATCTGGATTCTTTTAGTTGATGGAGGTCCAGATGAAAATTCCCGTCATATGAAGAACATCTTTGAATATTTTGCGTATTTGATCTCGATTATCTCTCAGTTAGAACACACGCTCCTGGTCAATCAGCATATAATCCAGTTGAGCGTAGCATGGCAACACTTTCTCGAAAACTTGCTGGAATAACATTATCAATTAACAAATATGGTTCCCATCTTAATTCTCAGAGCCAAGTAATTGATTCAGAGCTTGCGATGAAAAACTTTTGTTATGCTGGGGAGATCTTGTATACTCTTTGAAAATGAGATCCTATCTTCGGGAAGACAGTTATAACACAATATATTGATCAAAAAAACTCTCCTTTTGCTGATATTACATTTTCAGAGTATGATAAAGAAAATACCAATGAATCTGTGCCTTGGCAATGGCTAGAAAATCATACCAAAATATGTCAATACTCTCTTGACATCAAAAAATGTGAAAACACTTCCTGTTGCTTACCTAAACGACATGAAGAGGCAGCTATTCTTCTCGTGGAAAATAATGAATTTCTTCCACTTGTGACAAAAGGAAAAGATGGTCATTACTTGAACCCGCTTCATGTATTAGAGTATTATGATAAGGTTAAAATACCTGGATATGATGCCCACTGTCCTTTGACTACAAGCAATTATATTCGTCTCTGTTGTGCCATTTGTAATGCATATTTTCCAACACTTTTATTGGTCACATTACACAAGAAAAATCAACATCCAAGACAACGAGGACAACCGGCTAAGCAAAAGCAACCTACTAATTCAATTGATGATTTTTCTGTTGATTCTAGACAAGTGCTAGTCTCACAAAGCCGTGAGATATTCTCAGAAGGGGATTAAGGAGATAATCAATTTTTTATGACCTGAAATCTTGAGAAGTTTCATAATTAAGGAATGAAGAAAAATAGATTATTATTTGATATATAAATTACGTTTCTATATTATGATTGGCTAATAAATCATGTAATATTTAAATTCGTGAGATTTTGATATTTCTATGTTCTAATTGGCTAACAAAAATCCAAAATTATGTGAGACATGAGATTTTGAACACCCACCTTCCCCCCTTTTATAATGATGTGATATATGTCCATCCCCTAAGTGAAATATTTTATAGTAATTAATGAATAATTGTATAAGAAAGATTAAAAGAAAAATCTATTAACCCATTAAAAATATTATTTAATTAATAAATTAATGAAGTAATATAATAATAAAAGAATAAAGACTAAATAATGTACAATTAATGAAATTCACTAAAGATTCTAAAGATATTCTGTAATAACTTGTATACAAATTAACTTAGTATCAAAAATAAATATGAAAACAAAAGAAGAATTAAAAAAATAAAATAATAGAACTTATAAAGATTAGCTAAAAGTAATAAAACTAAAATAATAAAGATAATGACTTATTTAGAGTTAAAAACATTTATTATTTAAAATCAAGATTTAAAAATAATCAAGAAAATATTAGTATATTCACAAGTATAAATTAGAACAAAAGAATTTCTTATATGAGAAACTCTTCTTTTAATAATTACTTCAATTTATATAATTAATAATAATTTTAAATTATACTACTATTTATAAATAATATTAAAAAAACAAAGATTAAAAATTAAATAAGAACTTATTTAAGATAAGAAAAAAGAAAATACAAGATAAAATTAATATAAATTTGAGTGATTAAAAATAAAAAAATTATAATACTTTCTTACATAAAAAGTATTAAGATAAATTTTTTAATTGTTGTAAATAAATTATATCAACTGAGATAGTTTTCAGTTTTAATTTTAATAAAGCTTATTCTTTATTTATATAAGATAAAAAAAGAAAATATAAGATAAATTAATATAAATTTGAGTGATTAAAGATAAAAAAAATTATAAAATATAAGAATACTTTCTTATATGAAAAGTATTAAGATAAATTTTTTAATTGTTGTAAATAAATTATATTAATTGAGATAGTTTTCAGTTTTAATTTAATAAAGCTTATTCTTTATTTATTAAATAATAAAAAGTTTTAAGAAGCTATAATATAAAATAGAGATATTTAAATACATAATTAATATTTAACAAATTATAAATAAATTAATAATAAAATAAAAGACAATTTTTTAAATTATTAATCTTAAAGATGAATATCTCCAAGTTATATTGTACTTAATTAAATATATATAAAATATAAATAATAATAAAGATAATTAATAAAAAATTAAAAATAATAAATACAAAAATAAAAGAATAAATAAAAATAAAAGGAATTAAAAACAAAGTATATCTAAATTAATAATATAATTTACATTTAATATTTAATCTATTTAGCAAAATATTAAGAAGTATTAAATATAGATCTATATTAATTTCTTATATATTATGCAAAAAATAATAAGTATAACATGAAAAATAATAAATATGATACAAAAAAATACAAGAGTATTATAATTATCCTCTCTTAAAAGATAATATTCACATTGTATTAAGAATATACTTTTTTAAAAGCTTTAATTTTTTTTATTGCATTTTTAAAATTATTCAAAAATTTCCAAGTAAAATTATATAAAAAATATTCAGTTCATTTTATAAGATATTGTAATTATTTTTTCATTATGTGCTTGTCCAAAATATTTTCAACTTCATTTTTTTCTTCATTATCTGATATAATAATAGTTAATGGTAATGTTGATCTATTAAATTTATCATCTTCATTATATAAAATATGAAAAATCAGATGTATTTTCATGTTGTTTGAAAGTTCTAATTTATATATAATAGATAAAATTTTGTTAATTATATTAAATAATTCAATATATTTAGCATTTAACTTTCTTGTTGATTATTATTTATCAATAAGTGTATTAATAAAGTGAGTTAATAAAAGAATTTTTTGATCAATTTCAAATTCTTCAAATTTATAATATTGATTTGTATATTTTTATTACCTATTTTGAGCTTTTATCAATGTATCTTTTATTATTTTTATTATAATATTCCAGTAATTTAGAAATTCTTGAGATATGACTATTTTATTATCAGTATTAATAATGATAAATATATAAGATAATTATTTACAATCTAATTCAAATAAAATATATTGAATAGATACTTGTTTATTATTATTATAAACAAATTCTATATCAACTAAATAGTTATTTCAGTTATCTTACTTATATATAATAAAAATTCTA